ATAAATGTACATTACTAACCTTTATATGTACATGATTACTACTGCAGATAAATGAACCAAATGGCCTACTGTAACGTCTGCAATTATATGAAATAAATGCAACATATATGAACACATACAACCCCTTACAGTCTCTGATATGTTACCCATTAAAGAAAACTACACACAGCATACATTTAGTCCTTATTTGGGTTCAAAAACATGCAACATATAGCCCACAGTAACATGTGTAACTTCGCCAGCACATGTAAGCTCTTGTTAGACAGTAATTCCGTCATTCTGAGTTCATAATAGTCCAAAAGGGTTGATAATAGTTAAACAAGGCAGTTTGTTCATCTTTTAGGTTGCTAAAAAAACATTTGATCTCTTTTTTTAGGCTTCTTTTTTTTGTTCACGCTTCACTCTCACGTTTGTCAGTCTCTGAAAGGATCAGTCATCAGAAACGCTTCGATAATCACATGCACATTATTAATATGAGCTCAAGAAGTTTGTTATTTCAAATATAGACACGCAGACGAGCTCTCTCAAGAAAGTGAAATCGCTCGCACTTTTAGACGGCCTTGTAAACCAATATGGAACACAATGTAGATTCTGCTCTTCTTGGCTTTGTGGCTGTTCATCAAGATGATGACAAGGTTTATTTAAGCTCGAGTCGACCATGGCTCGTTATTATATGTATAAATATATCATTACGATGTAATGTCTCGGCTGTGTATCTGAAAATGGTGGTTCCTTTGTTTTCATTCTCCTTCGTGTATATTCGCTGGTGACACACCTCTGTAAACCAATAGCATTCAGCTGCGCATCTAGCTCCGTCTTTTGGTACCTTTTTGTCGTGCTAGGTACCCTTTCAAAAGGGTACCCAAAAAGTGGAATGGTATGGTTCGCTTTTAGGTACCTTTTGACTGTGGAAACGGCCATAAAAGCAGAACGTACCACTCAGTGGAAATGGGCCATAAGGTACTATGAAGTACACATTTGTACTTTTTTGGTAATAAAATGCACCTTTGTACATATGTGGCCCTGTAAGGTGCAGAAGTGTGTTTTTTGAAAACATACCACACCACTGACATGTTTTGACCTTGATTTCTGAAAGTGTAGTTATCGCTATATGTTTTTGACTGTTTGTTCTATATTAACTGACATAAAATGGTCCTTATCTTGTGTAGATACCATGGAAGTGCACTGCTACTCCTAATTGCTTTTTACACCGTCATGATGATGTGCACAAAATGTAGATGCCATATATAATATATCTGCATGGATTTAAATGAATGATTAAAATATTAAAATGCATATTAACTCTGCATTTGTTTGTCTTTTTCAGCCCGAACATGGACCAGGCTTTATGCCGGGAACAATATTGAAGTCTAGAAATGGGGGGAATGAAAAGAGAGAGAGAGAAAAAAGGAAGTCAAGAGTGAACACAACTCCATGTTCTGCCAAGACCTAATCATTTTCATGTAAAGGACACAGTCTTAGGAAACAAACAAGCAAAATATGATAAACTGTAAGGAATATATTAACACAAGTAAAAAAAAAGAAAACTTCAGACAATTTGTAATTTAAATGCACATTAGTACAACAAAAAACAAGCGTCTTTGTCCTGATTCACTGCTGTTCAGATGCATGGGCGGATGATCTACTCATACGGCATTCTTTTACCATGGTTGGGGAGGGAGCCGCAGACTTCTGCTATTAAGCGTGCATTAAAACTGACCGTCATTTTTCTGTCCCATAGTTATTTTCTGGGGGGAGGGCTGGGGTAACCTTTTTTTTATATTTCTTTTAACCTTTTTCTTGTCATTGCTCTTTATTATTAAGGAGCTGCAGACTTAGCCCCTGCTTAGAGCACCCTTTCTGTCAGACATCAGACTTACCCTCGTAGAAAACATAGCAGAGAGCTCACTAAAATGGAAAAGAAATCCAACATTTAAACCACATGCAAACAGTAGTTTCACCTGGGAAATGGTTCAACTGGAAAGTCTTTCCACCATCACGGTAACCGTTAAAAGATGTAAACCCTAACCTAGAACTTGATTTATATTTGAACTATGGATGGGCAAAGTAGAGCTAGAGAGAGAAGGGAGATGTTGCGTAATATTTCTTTTAGTATAACAATTCTGTCATCGTATCCGGTTTTAGTGTTTTGTTTTTATCTATCTTGCCATGGCTGTTCTAATTGCACTCTTGAAACTCCATCATTGCGTGCTTTTTTTCTTTTTCTTTTCTTTTTTCTCGTGTCCAGCACAGTCCACTGCATTTAGATTCATTTGTCTGTTTCTTCCCTTAAGCATTTATTTCCTTGCGCCAAGGTAGCTGGGGCGGGGGGCTGAAGACGAATGATGGATAGTGAGATTTTTAGTAAAGGGATTGAGGGGTGGGAATGTTTGCGGAAACATTGTAAAAGATCAATAAAGGCTTTGTCTCAATTTCCACGATTGGTCTTTGGTTAAAACGTCAAGTCTGTAAATTCCCGCTTTCTATAGAAAGGGGAAAAAAAAATAAAACAAATTCTGCTTTTTAAAAATGTGATGACAAAAGTCCACACACATATTTCTGTTCTTTCTGTAAATAAAAATCTGTTGATTAATAATACACATTCATGGTGGTGGTTTTATTACATTTCCAAGAAAGACTTGAGGTTAACTACTCTTTTGTTTTCCCTAGTCTACCGTTCTCATGTGTTTCATAAGCTGGAAAAAGTTAGTCACAGCGTATTGCTTATCTATACTCCAAATAACCTGGAATGAACAGGTACAGGTCTAATTTACCTAAAGAGCAGCTCATAAAGGTCTGAAGATTTCTATTGTGCCTATAGGTAATGTCAGCACTACTGAATGTTTAATAGTATTAACAAAGTGTAAGTCAGTGTTTCCAATAACTCTTCTTCTTATTACCTGCTTTCCATGAATCAGTCCTCTTCAGTGAACCGATTCTTTCACTCAACTGGTTTTAAAGAACTTCTCAGCAAAGTATAATCTCTTTTATAGCCTAAATGTTTTAATTACTTTGTATTGGAGTAAAATGCATTCATTTGATCATAGTTTAATCATAATTTGAGTCGCATTACATATGTTATTATATAATTGTATCTTCAATTAACTCTTGGTTTAATTATTTGAAATCGTCAGAAACCACTCTGTCATACATTTTATCAGTTCAGTTTTGAAAAGATCCCAGACGATTGGTTCTTGAAAGAATCGTGTACCAGTGGTTAACACTTTACAGTGTGTCGCGGGGTCTTAAATATTGTTTTTGAAATTTAAGACATTTTTAGATTTTAAGGCCTTAAATTCACTGAAATATTGTCTTGTAGATCTTAAATCCTTTTAAACAGGTTTTAATTTACTTTTATTTATGTAATGCGACCCAATGATCCAACACACATCCAATAACAACAATACTTTTCAATAAAACTTAAATCAAAACTCTATTTATAACTAATATTTTATTTATTGTTTATTTGACATGGACATCACAAATGCATTAACAAACCAAATGCATTTGTTTAAGTGTTTTAGCAGACTTGCTAAACACCTGTCCAAGGCTTGATATAAAATGAAAGTCAAAACAATACACATACACATTAAAATTCTTTACCTAAATTGCCTTATAGCAATTTTAAGTTGAAAACAAATTGCATTTGTACAACTAGGGTATGCTTGATTTAACACATTATTCAAAATTTGTGACCAAAACATTCCTAATTAGAATTTGCTTCTTGATATGGCAAGTAAATATTTTATTTTCTGCTGGGCCATTAAGAAAATCCTTAGCATTTAACCCTATATATATGTATATATATGTATGTATGTGTATGTATGTATGTGTATATATATGTATACATATATATATATATATATATATATATATATATAGGGTTAAATGCTAAGGATTTTCTTAATGGCCCAAATTTTATTCTTGATGGTCTTAAAAGTTTTTTTTTTTTTTTTTTATTTGACATGGTGTAACCTGCAACCCTGCCTTAATTTTTTATGTTGGTATCAAAACTTTCAAAAATTAATCTTGAAAAGAATTTCAAATATGTCCAGTTGAGGCTGGAAACCAGCTTATATTTAGTGTCAGGATCATGGTAAACCATGCTAACAATATTTCAGAGCTTGTATGAAAAATGCTAGCAATCCATTAAAATGTGGAGGTTTTAAAACAAAAATAGGAGTAACTTGCTTGATAGAAATATTGTTAAAGGTGGTAGCAACATGTTAATTCAATATATCCCATTGACACTAGAAACCAGCTGCTATTTAGTGTTAGGATCATGGTAAACCATGCTAACATGTCACAGCTTGTTAGAAGATGCTAGCAAGCTATTAAAAAGTGGACATGTTTTAGAACAACAATAGGATGTAACTTGCTTGAAAGAAATATTGTTATACGTGGTAACAACATTTCAATTCAAAACATCACTTTAAACTATATGCTTCACTACATTGTATGTTAGCATAGCATTAATATGAAAGAAATGTTAGCATTTTTAGTGATAATAAAGGAATATTTCAAGCAAAAATTTTAATTTGGGCATTAACTCGCCCTTAACTTGTTTTAAAAATGTAAGTTTTTTTTACAAAACACAAAAGAAGCTTTTTTGAAGAAAGCTGGTAAACGGTTACTGTTGTCTTCCAATGTATTTGTTTTTCCTACTTTGGAAGTTTTTGATTTGAGGTTTTCAGCATTCTTCAAATGGTTTATTTTGTGTTCAATTGAAAAAGCTCAGAAGATTTTGCACCAATTAGGGATAATTAGTTGGTAAATGTTCATTTTAGCGTAAACTATCCCTTTAAAAATTCAAGTAAAGTAATACTAAGTATTAAAGTTTCACCAAACTCTTTGGCTAGTTGTTAAACTAAAATCCACCAGCAGATGGCGCTAGTACAACACGACTCCGTTCTGTCCCTGCAGTGTGGCTTTTGTCTCTAATGTTACTTTGAATCAATTACTGCCATTTGTATTACATTTACAGCGACGCGACGTTGTTTAATTCCACCCACATCAAGCCTCCGGGAATCAACAATGTCCTCCCTTCCTCTGGCGGCAGCAATGATGATGATTTCTCATTCATATTTCTAACCAGGGAAACGCCTATCTGTTGATGGCATCTTGGGTTTGTAACGCAGATCCTATTGCAGCTGATTTAAGGCGACTGCGCAGAGCCGAAGAGCCGCAGCAGAGCAGAGGAGTGTTCACACATAACCAGCCAGCCACCATGCTCCAGTCCAGATCACCTCAAGCCACGATCTCCGCCGTCAAGACAGGAATATTGCCTTCAACGTGAGTCACTTCTGACAAAACGCAAACTGTATGATCAGCCTGGGAAATCTGGGACGACTTTCAGCTCTTGGCCTGAAAGGCAGCTGCGTTGCGCGTCGGATCCAAAAACTAGGCAACCGAGAACACTTGTATTCTTGTTTTGTTCGGAGAAAAACCCACATGATGAAATTCAAGCCCAATCAGACAAGGACGTATGACGGAGAGGGCTTCAAAAAACGAGCAGCCTGCCTGTGCTTCAAGAACGACCGAGAGGACGAGGTGAGGCTGAGGGGGAAAGTGCAAATGTGGTTGCTGGTTTACTACAACTGTCGCCTACGGAGACAGAGTCTGGAGATTGCAACACAATGTTATTCCTTGGAGCTAGTTTTATGTTGCAAGAAGTTGCTGGTTTAATCAGTTATCCAACATGTTATTGACTACACCCATTAGGTGCTAGCACTTATTTTATAATAGTCTCTCATTCAGGTTTCTGGATAATATATTAAGTGACTTCAAATAATACATGTCAGCGTTTTATTAATGTTTGTTGTCGTTCTGTCACTTTATTATTATTATCATTTATATTCACGTTAGTGTTGAAGTTAAAGGGATAGTTCACCCAAAAATGGAATATTTTTACTAGGCTACTCACCGTTTACTCCCCCTTTAAGTGATTACAAATCTGTTTTTTATTTTGTCGAATGGTAAAGATGATTGAAGAAAATTTAAAATCTGTAATTGTTGACTTCCACAGTAGGAAAAACCAACATGGAAGTCATTGGTTACAGGACATTCAGCTTTCTTCAAAACATTGTCTTTTCTGTTCAACAGAAGTCAAACATGTTTAAAACTACTAAAGTAGTAAATGATGACAGAATTGTATTTTTTTGGGGGGTGAACCATTCCTTTAACTGCCTTTATTATCAATATTAATATTATTATTAGTCAGTTCACGTTAACAATACTTCTGTAGTGTCTATTGTTTTTGCTGGTCACTATCAAAGCAGTAATTTTTAGTAACTGTCCCCCTGCTACTTTGCCTTTGAATTTTTATGGTTCTTAACTTAAAAACTTGGTTAACTCAATATATTAACAATTACCCACTGACTTATCTGTGTAATAATGTATATGTACTGATACTTGGTCCAGTTTTAATAGGAACTATTTCATAAATATTCAGCTTTGTGTACTTTGACGAAGTTGAATCTATTCTAACACTTAATAGTATTTTGTTGCTCTTTTTTTGTTGTCATATTGTACGAACCAGAATGGCTACTTGGTTAATTATTATTATTACTGTTAGTCAGTTCACGATAACAGTACATCTGTAGTGTCTCGTGTTTTGCTGGTCACTATCAATGCAGTGATTATTAGTAACTGTCCCCCTGCTACTTTGCCTTTGATTTTTTTATGGTTCTTATCTTAATAACTTGGTTAACTTAATATACAGGTATTAACAATTACCTACTGACTTTTCTGTGTAATACTGTATATGTACTGCTATTTAGTCCAGTTTTACTAGCAACTATTTCATATTCAGCTTTGTGTACTTTGACGATGAGTCTACTCTAACACTTAATAGTATTTTGTTGCTTTTTTGTTGTCATTGTTTCAAACCAGAACGACTACTTAGTTAATTATAATTAATATATTTTTTTTATTATTATTAATATATATTTTTTAAAAGTCTAGTACATTCGCCTACTACAAAAATTTGAATATGGACAATAGCTTTCTTAATAGTTACAAAAATGTGTGTTTTGTTAGTTTAAAATTACCAAAATGACATAACATTTCCACTGAACCTTTACTGTTGAATATCAGTATATATCTATATCTTTAAAGTGAGTGGTTTACTTAATAAATAGACCGATCCTAATTTTTACTAATATATATATATTTTAATTTAATTCGCTTCACATGCTAGAATTTCTTTTTTGTAGTCATGTTGTGACCAGTCTAAACAACTACTTAGTATAATGGTTTAATAAAACAACCTGATAGTAAGTTAATGTACGATGTAGGTTAGTGTAAATATGAACTAATGACTACCTCAGTTCTAAAATTAATTAACATTGTCAACTAAAGATAAATAAATACTGTATCATAAGTATTGCCTGGTCTTAATGCTAGCTAATGCATTAACCAATAGAAACGTTTTTGTATTGTGTAACCAAAAAAATAAAGAATATCACAAGCATCGCCATCTTTTAACCCTAATCCTTAAAGTAAATGCAAACCAAACTACATCATGCTGAAATCAGTAGGATTATTTTAACTGGAATCTCACTCACCAGCAACTTGCTTATGATTCATGTCTAGAAATATAAGACTGCGCATGGAGCACTGATGGCAGGTGGTATAAATGTAATGAATGAGATCAGTGCACTATAAGTCAGCAGTGAGCTTTACTCCTGAGTAATGACGTCTGGCTACAACAGGTAACAACTGACCTTCTGTAGATCATGTTACTCACAGCTGTTTCCCGATTTCCTATTTTCATGCTTTTTGCTCTCCAAGGTGTTTGTACACTGTTTTATGGTCTATATTAGAGAGGAAAATGGGACACAATGTTCTTAATCAGCAGGGTTGTTGCCTAATCTCTTGAAGAAAAAAAAATACTGCACCAGCTACTGCTAGTATGGAGTTTTGTTTGTTTTTATACAGTTTGATGGGTCTGCCACAGGCCTGATGAGTATTGCTTATGAAGACAGAACAATGTGTTTTTATATAGACATTCTTTTTAATGCACAATAATGGTTTATTATAGCTTCAGAGATGTTTGACATCAAACATGGTTTGTGGGCCAAATATGAAAAGGAGATTTCAGGCATCAAAACAATATAAATTCAGCTTTTAAGTTCAGCTTTAATTCCAGTGTCTTTTTTGTTTGCTTGTTTGAGAAAATAGCAATAATTATCAAACCTGTTTATCAGAGAGAGCCACTGAAATTATGCATTCATTCATTTAACTTCAGCTTAGTTTTTATATTAGAGGTTGCCACAGCGGAATGATCCTCCAACTAGGACTATTTGATTAATCGAAATCCAATCGCAATCACAATTTAGTTAATCGCAAGAGGCTACGATATAAAATGTATGCCTATTATTTAATTTCCCCCACCCAGAGGAAATGCGTGACTGTCGTCTGTGTGACAGTCTTACTAACCAATTGAGTGAGCACACTTTCATTCTGCCCAATCAGAATTGCACAACTGAACTATGCAGAACGCCCACAATAAAAAAAAAAAGAAACAAACAGGAAAGCGTGGACAAGTGGGATGATGGTGTCTGCTGCTTTGAAGCATTAGTACCAAAGAAAAACAGCATGTCAATCATATGGGAATATTTTGGTTTCAAAGACAGATACCGAACAAAAACAGGTAGTTTTTAAGGGCTGTCACAGAATAGTTGCTACGACTTCACTACAAAATTAAATCGCAAATAGATATTTTCACTAAAATTGCTCAGCCGTACCTCTAACTATTCCGGCATATGTTTTACACAGCGAATGCCCTTTCATTTTCAACCCAGTACAGGGAAACACCCATACACGCATTTATTCACACACACACACACACACACACACACACACACACACACACACACTCATAGACTACAGCCAATTTAGTTTGGACTGTGGGGGTAACCGGAGCACTTGGAGGAAAGCCACGCGAACATGGAGAGAACATGCAAACTCCACACAGAAATGTCAACTGGCCCAGCCGGGACTTGAACCAGTGATCTTTTTGCTGTGAGATGCCAACCACTGAGCCATCTTGCCACTTTTCACTGAAATTATCAGCTTTTGTCAGGCATATTTGCATCAGGAATTGTATGATATACTGTTGAAGTCAGAAGTATTAGCTCCCCTTTGAAGTTTTTTTTTTTTCTTTTTAAAAATATTTCCCAAATGATGTTTAACATAGCAAGGACATTTTTACAGTATGTCTGATAATATTTTTTCTTCTGGAGAAAGGCTTATTTGTTTGATTTCGTCTAAAATAATCAATCTTTCACCAGGAGATTTATGTGGCTGAACAACAGGTCTGTGCATAAAACCCATTAACAACCCAATCTACATCAGCTCTGCCTCTGCATGAAGCTAAGTGAAGTTTCATAAACTAATTTTGAGAGGAGCATGTGATATAATTGAGCACGACTGACCGCTCATCTGTAATCAGTAATAATTCAATCAGAGTGATCCTAGTTTACTGTAAATGGATCATTTTCTCCCTACTACTCTTTTCGTTTTGGAATAATCCACCCCTTCCACCCTATCTCCTCCTTTTCCTCCATTTTCTAAAGGGAGAGCTCTCGAGACCTACCTGATCTCGGATATTCTGATATGCTTATTGACCCGGCGGGAGCTCTGGGCTCAAATATCTCCGAGCTCAGGGTTCTCTCCCGGGACAGCATGCCAAACCTGCTATAAATGCTAAGCATATTTAGGTGGAAACTCTTGAAAATAGTTTTAAAACAAAACATTTCCTGTTTTATAGAAATACTTCAGCCATGGTGTCATCCTCCACCGTGCAAAAGTTACTCCAATACTGATTCAGGAGTTTAAAAAGTTTCGATTTAGCTTTTGATTTTGCTGTGACTGTGACTCTTGTGTGCACGTGCAGGCCCAGCTAGGCGTGCACGCACGGCGTTCATGCAGCATATGCGTAAACAGAGATGCGCAAAAGCCCAAATCTTCATTTGCTGACAGAAAGATTGAGCAACTTATCGCAATTATGAGAGATGTCAGCCCGACAATTTTAATTGGATGAACATTTTTAGTTTTATGCCTTATCCAGAATATAAAAATACATATAAACACATTTAGATCATTTACTGTAATCATTACTACTGTGAAGAGACTTTCAGCCTGCACAACAAAAAAATGATTTTGAAGACAATCACCCACTGCACCTTTAACTCTGGTTAGTTGTTCTGGAAAAAATATTAAAAGTTGTTTCCATATAATGTTAACATATTCTTTCTATGTGAATTTATGTTTCGAGTTTTAATGTCACATCCATTACACTGGAATTGCTCTTTTATTCTTAAAAAGCTGTCAAATTGACAATCGGTAGCATTTTGTGGCTTCCTCGAAAGCTGATTCTGATTAGACTAAAAATACCATCTATTATGAAACATGCCAGTCACAGTCAAGGTGTTCTTAGCTTCTCAGATGAGGGCTTGAGGGCATGTAGTATAGTGTGCTTAGAAATGACGGGAATATGCTGTTGTATTCACAAATACTCCTCGACAAAGTCATCTTTACCTGGAAAA